ACACTTTCCTTTAATTTGATATACCATCTTTCATAATTGGCAACCCAATGAATTTTCACATTTAATTATTTTTCTTCACACCTCATTTGCTCAGTGTACATGGCTTTCTGTGCCGTTGTGTCTTTTTTATAAAATCTAGTGCCGTTTCTCTTTTCAATATCTTTCTGCAATTTCTCGTTTCTTTTGTACTCTCGTTGCCATTCTTTACATAAAATACTCTCTTTCTCTCTATCTCTAGATCTTCTGTCCAGAATGTCTTCCTTTGACAAAATTGGGTTATCGACACTGTCCTCATTTCAGATGGTGCCCTTTGAAGCTAGAGTGGACAGAGAGTTGCATGAGCAACTCTATAAAAAGCTCAAAGCAATTGTTTCAGTAAGTCACTGCTTAATTCCTTCCACCGATCTATGAACATGTACCCGCTTGATGAGCTTGGTATCTATAAATTATATGTGGTTAATTATTTAACTTTCGTTTACGCAGAAATCTACCCAAGAGTTGAGATCCAGGGTGCTAAGTAAACCTGTAGAGGAAGGGACGAGCTCTACTACAAAGGGAATCATAAGAGCAGCACCTATGAATTCGTATGTGGCTGAGGACTCTCTTCACAATCCACTGAAAATGGTGATTTCACTTTAGTTCCTTAATTCATTTCTTGATCTCCCTATACATATGATGTTTTTGTTGTTGTTGTTGATAACATATATGTTGGGTTTTAGAGGATCTAATGATATGCGTGTGCGCGTAAATTTATAGTCTCATAATTAAACCAATGTGCAAACTGACTTGTCTACTCAGATACCGTAATTTAGTTGAATATATATGAGAATTTTCAAGTAACGATATTTGCATATATAAAATATCTTCGTTTTTTGGAACTGTTTATTATTTAGATTTTCTTCTAAGGCACCATCCTTGTAAAAATTCAGCCAATTGAGAAATGTTTTAGCTGGCTGTTTGATTACCATTAAAATTATTTCACTTTTATCTAACGAGATGTATTTGTCTGCACAGTTTAGTTACAATTACTGATTTAGCTAATTTTTCACAATTATTATGACACTTAAATAGCTACTTAAATATAGACGATTGTGATTATTGAATTGCACTGCATAATGGTCCTACTGAAAGATCGATGATTGTGTAGAATATATTGAGAGTATCATACACTAATTGGAGAATGAAAATTTTGCATTAGTGCTTAAAAGATCTTGGGTCTCCATCCATTGCTAATTGATTTCAGACTGAATGTTCGCATTCTAACACACACACACACATATATATAGTTTCAATTGAAAGATCTCTCAAGTAAGCTTAGTTTAGGGACATCCTTGTGGGACTCACCACACATTGTATTTCAATGATTGGAATTGTCTAGTTTTTAAATTTCCCTCAAAGATCATCTTTGCAAAAAATCATACTTGAACCATTTGACCACTCAATTAGATAGTTGTTATTATAACTTTTCTTGAAGCACCGTATTCGTCTTTTTTGTTGGCCCCAATTAGATGCCTAAATGATCTTCAATTTGCATGATTTTTTTGTAAGGATAATCTATGAATAAATACTTAAAAAAATAGATGGTTTGGATTGTTGAATTTTTTTTATTTTTTTTTGGTAGAGGACGGGTACCCTGCCTCAAATAAAATTATAGTTTCAATAGAAATGTTGATTACATTGTGGTTATCAAATAATTTGCTTTACAATTTCCACCCCGTTACAGGAGTCTAAAAGACGACGAGTGCCCACCACTCCGGCTGGTTTTATTTTTGCGGACTACAACCTTCCAGAAGATCTCACTCTGGATGGCTTACCCCTTGAGGAGGTAACTTCACTACACAAACAGTAATATCATGACATGCATTAATTCTCTTCCTGTTAATTATTTGTGAATTGGAAACCTTCATAATATGCTATTTGTATATTAGAGTGGATTAAGGAACTCATATATACAATGGGTTTGTGGATGGCTACAGTTGGTACCCAGGAAGGAGACGTTTGCTGCCAGTTCTAGTCAAAGGCCACCACGCCAATTCTCTTTGGCGCAGAGGCTTGAGGGCTGGAAGATCCTGCGTAAACAGAGACGCACAGGAAGATGTGATCTGGTAATACTTTGATTAATTGGTTTCTTGTTTGGATCTGATTCAACTTTCTCCTATGGAAAATATGTTGACAAGATATATTTCCTAAAAATGAATTGATCTGTTTCCTGCAGTACTTCATACACCAGAGATCTAATACGCTTCTGAGATCATATGTTGAAGTGGTGAACTTCATACTTTATGAAGTATATCCCCAGAAGCCGACACCGAAAAGAAAGTTACTAGAGAGTTATGAACCAGTGAGTTATATATCACACAAATCTTTTACATATAAAGATTACAACTTATATATATATTTTTAGTTCATTTTTGTTCACTATATATGTGCATTAATGTTTGTTCTGATCCGTTTTAGGCTTACAAGTCTTGTCGAATCATCAGGGAGTCTTATCACATCAGTGAAAAAGAAGTGCGGGAATTTTTGAGGTCATCCTATGAGAACCTACTGAATTATAAAGAGGGTAATTAATTGAACTTTCATTCTTGGGTGCTACAAGTTTATAATAATTAATCAAATATCTTGTTGTGGTTTAGTCTCTTTTAATTCTATTGTATACCCATCTCCTCCAACTGATGCTCCACCCACCACTAATTCTAACCCTCTGGAAAAACACGCAGAAAACCCTGATGCCAACACTCCTGTGGACAATGAACTTATTGCGCCTGGTCTGCAAATTGACTTGAATCTGCCTGCAGAAGAAGCCGAGGGTGGAGAGGAGGAGGCTCCGGCAGAAGAAGCCGATAGCGGAGAGGAGGCAGAGTACTAATCAAGCATAGAGTTAACCAAGAGGACGTCTAGAAGGACTTGGGCTGTTGCCAAATGGAAATGGGCAATTTGTAAATTAATTACTATGGTTGCTGTAAATTTAGATACAGTTCTTTTCTGTTTTCCCTTTCTGTTTTCCCTTTCTTTTTTCTTGGGTTTTAAATTTGGACACCAATTTTATCTGTAACCTTGTTGCATGCATCCATCCCATTTGGTGTGCCTAGACGGCTAGACAACACCAATTAAACAGCTTCCTATGCAAACTCAACAATTTTGTCTTCTCTTTTATTTAAATTTTAATGATTTTTATATGCACCCCAACATTTATTTGCAATTTTAGTTAGTTCGACCAATGCCTATGTAGATTTTTTAATCGCTTGTTATGATGATATGGGAAATTCTCCCATAAATATTTTATGTTCAAGCGTGAAATTGAAAGTTTTAATTGTTCAAAACTTTAGGGATGCATACATGCACATATATATATATATATATATATAAATATCGCTCATATGTTTATCTTTAACCATCACACATTACTGTTTGTTGACTCAAACTTGGGGTGTTAATAGAGCAACTTATTAGCACACATTGATTTAATTTGGGCCCCAGGGAAACCAAACTTAAGGCTACAAATGATATTAAGTTTATTGGATTCATATGCCATAAATACATAAAAGGAAAAATAATTATGGTTTGAGGTATGTAGAATTTTAAATTTCAAATCACACATAACATGTGAAGATAAGGTGAGGGCCACTAACCCTATATGCAGAATGCATGCCATTTTTGATAATTTCAAGGTTTCCAGGTTTGGAAACATCCAAAGGTTGTTGTGGAAGTCCAGTAAGAATAAGACATTATATATATAAGTTGTGGAGCAAAACTTATCATAATTGGATTTTGGGACATTGAACATAAACATGGAATTTGAAAATCTAAAATCAGATATTGTCTGGCACTTTCCTTTAATTTTTTGCACATCAACTTTCCTAATAGGCATTTTCACACATGAATATTTTTGCTCACCACTTTAACTCAAGGTGTATGCTCATCACTTTTTTCAACACTTGACATGTATCCATAAGCATAACCATGGTCACATAAATCAAAATAAAAAGTTAATCATGGTTATATCTGTTGACACGTGTCAAGTATTAAGAATGATGGTGAGTATACAGCCAAGGTTAAAGTGGTGAGCAAAAATATTTCTTTTTTCACACAACAACTTTCCTAATAGGCAAGAAAATTCTTGAAATGAAGGCTCTCATTTAATGATTTTCCCAAGACACCTTCTTGCTCAAATCTATATGACTTTCAAGCAGGTTCTGTCTTTTTCACTAAATCTAGAGAGCCTCCTTTTTCTCAACCCACAATTGTGTGCTTGTCTCCTTTTGTGTTCTCTTGCTGCCTCTATTCTCTGCATATACTACTCTGCTCTCTCCCTCTCTTCTCTCTATATACTTCTCTCTCTCTCTCTCTCTCTCTCTCTCTCTCTCTCTCTCTCTCTCTCTCTCTCTCAATGTCTTCCCCATCTCAGAACAAGAGGTCATCAGCCACCACACCAGAAATGGGGAGGTCAGAAGAAACATATGACCCTGAGTCTCTGGAAACCGTCCCCCATAATTCACAGTCACCCACATTTGATGGTGACCAGAGGAATTTACAACTGAAAAATGATCTAGCTCTAGTTTGCATTCCACAAGCTAGAGCAGATGAGGGCTCTAGCTCTTCTCATCAACCAAATGAATATAACGTGCATCTCCGACTCAAGCGAACCTTGAGCTATATTATCTCAGTAAGTCACTGTGGCTCTTAATTCGTCTCCCATTGATCTATAAACCTGCTTGAGTTTTGCATTTATAAATTATATATATGAATAACTTGAGAATTAATTTGACATTCTGAAAGTTTTCATTTTACACAGACATATACTACAGAGATGAGATCCACGCAAGCTGCAGGGCAAATGGTCATAAAAGCAGAACCCATATCTTGCGTTCGGAGTGTTCAAGAGGTTTCACTTGCTTAATTCATCTCTAAAGATCTATCTATACATGATGGGTTTTAACTTTTACACTATCTGATTAATGTAAATAAAAATAGTCTCAAAATTAAACCAGAAATACTTGTACTTTGCAAATCAATTAGTGATCTCACATAATTTGCTTTGCATTTCATGTTACAGGAAAATTTGAAAAGAAAACGAGTAGCCACCACTTCGGTTGGTGAGATTGTTGTCGAATCATTCATACTTCCCCAATATTTAAGCCTCGATTGTCTGGACCTGGAGAATGTAAAGCACTTCACTATATAAACAGTGCATGATATCCTCACATGCATATTTTATTTATTTTTTTCCATTTAACAATTAATTGTGTGTACTGTCATGAAGGGACTCATTATTTGTTTATGGAATATGGCTACAGTTACTTCCGATGGATGAGGAGCTCTATGCAAGTATTGTGCATAGAAGACGAAAATATTCTTTCGCTCAAAGGCTCCGTGGGTGGAAACTTGAGCGCAGACAAAGATCCACATTAATGTGTGACATGGTAGTGTGCTCAATTTGGTTTCTTCTTTAGATGACATCTCGAACTCTCTTATATGGAAAGTGTTGAAGATCTAATAACACTACACCTGATAATTAAAGCTACTCTGTGCGATTGTAAAAACCCTAATTTTTTTTCTATAAACCCCCTTTAATGTATAAGTAGTTCGGTAGATCGAGAAACCCTAAAGTTATTAAATGTGACTATGGAAACCTGAATTCCTTGGTTTTCTCGTTTAAAAACTCTAGATTTATCACTTGTTCAAACCTTTAAAATCTAGACAAGTAAAAAGAAAAAGAGTTATATGACTAGATACACATTTTCTAACAATTAATGTTTCTTGCAGTACTACAGGCACCAGGAATCCAATATCTTTTTCAGATCAAATACTGAAGTTGTAAACTTCATACTTTATGAAGCAAAACCACAAGATAAGCGAACAACAAAACGAAAGGCGCAAAGGATTGCTGATTCAGTGAGTTAGATCATTCAGATCTTTTATATTTTTAAATGAAATTCATTTGCTCACCATATATGTGCAATCTTTTTGTTCCCTTTCAGGCTGAGACGTCTGAGCAAGGGAGGAGGAAAAGATTAACGCCGCCAACAACGCGGAAGGGGCGACGAGAGGTTGATCATTGTGAAAGCAGCTATTCCGTTGGATCTGTAGTACAAGCAGCGGTGGCATTGCTTCAGTTGTCCTTGGATGAACAAATCCATACCGGTAATTAAACTTCATTTTTTATCCTCTAATCATTGTGCTATGTATACAAGTTTATGTTATTACAAATTTCCTATCCATTTTTTCACTAATTAGATATCTTGTTGGTTAATTTGCTCTCTTTGAATTCTATTGTAGGCCCATCTGCTCCCCCAACTGCTGTTTCACATGAACCTGAAAGAGAATGGAACCAAGCAACTATCATCCCTCTGGATGGTCATGCCAACAACAACCC